AACAACATACGGATAATCTATTTTTTTGCATACCCCCCCCACACTTTCTTTCCACAGAAAAGAAAATTGAAACAGACTATTAACTGAAGAGATCATCTTAAATTTCTTCGTCTATTACCCGTGCGAGCTGAAAAAGAAAAGAGGATTTGCAAAAGAAATCGTTACCAGGATGTTTCGAAGCAGTTACAGAATTAAATGAAAACTTTTCTCCCCAAGCCACAAACAAGGCGCTTTAGCCACTAAGCCTCCCTTTCTTTCGGTAGATCTGATTATCAACGCCGCATAAACCCCGAGTTTTACTAACGGGACCATACGCGCGTGTATCTGCACGCAGAGACGGCGCCCTAACGCGTGTATCTCTGTGGAAATTACACGGGTGAACCGTAGACTAGTAAATATCTGAACTACACTCCCAGATTGTGTTCTGCTTAGTATCCTATTCTCCCTATAGTTAGGTGTCTCCTTTCAACATCTCTGTCATCTCCATTTGAAGATATTTTCAGCGGTTTATCACTGCCATCTCCAGCCCTGCGCATTTGCAGCAGGTTATCACAATTGCCAGTCCCCCCTGGCTGATGGGTTGCACTGATTACCATCGCTGCCCTCAGATATTTGGTGCGGATTCCCAGCACTGCAATATCCACTCTTAGGACATCTGGAGCAGATCAAAATCACTGACTTCATTTTTCAGTAGAGTCAGTGTTAAAGCTTCACACAGCCTCTTCGCAAACGTACTCTGTAATCAACTCCCGCAGAACCAGCCTTCAGTTAAAATTCGGCCAAGCAGCGACCCCTATGTCTGGATTTGCATTTCTTATCGGACCCCTATCTAAACTGATTTGTTAATAATAAAGAGAAAATCTCTTGGCACTGGATGCGTAGCCTTAAGAAACTGGAAGGATCACACTGTCTTAGCAAACTCCTTCTCAAGAAAGGCTTTTTAAGGAGAAGTTTATCTGCCCAATGATCTTTGAATTAGATGAGCATGGCCATTTAGGTCGATTTACTTTAAACAGCATACAATTTATTTCAAGCGATTACCTTAGGAATAATCACATTATGCCCAGGTATTTCTCTCCCTCCTGATTTCAGATGTACATCCTCTCTCCAACGGGAAGGTGACTGTTTTTCACTCTCAGCCCAAATCCTTTTTTGCTATGTGACTGTTTATCGTCTTTAAAAACGTTCTTCGGCTAATGAGATGGCACCGCACTCCTATTTGTTAGGTCTTGGCGAAAGTTAAGGAGATGTTCAAGCAACTGCAACACTGATCTCGGGGGGGGGGGGGGGGGGAACCACCAAACACCCCTCCCGCCCCAAACACCCCCCCCCAACAAGAAACCAACAAAATAAAAGTAAGACATGTTTTCCCGAATTATGATTAAAAATACTTTTTCTTTTTCTTTTTCTTTTTTTTTTACAGTATTTTATTCTATCAAAAATGTCAAGGTAATTTATGAATAGGAGGGATCGATCACACCAACGCTTTGGACTGTTTAGGTCGTGGGTTTAGGGAAAGATTTTCCTGGAGCTTCTGGCAGCTGCTGCTGATGTTTGTAATTTTCCGTACAGTTTCGTCCCTTTCGCACTTTTCTTAATAAGCTCCTGCTATAGGTCTTGTATGGGAGGAAATAAACCCAGAATCTTCCAGACCTTCACTAAACTGATTTTCAGGCTAAGTAGCTTAGTGTAGCAGCTCTGGTCCCAGCTTACTTGCACAAGGGGAAAAAAATTAAAAAGGGTTTGAAAGGTTGTCTACTAAAGTGACTTAATAAACCGTCAGGAAAAAAAATGGGCAATGTCCAGTACAGAAGCAGGAATCGCGTGGTAAGGGATTGGGCATTTTCTGATCAGAATTGTGCATAATTAATGGCGTTCACAGGACCCTGCTCATCCTTGCGCGAAGAACTTTGCAGATGAGAAACAAAGCTTTCCTCCCAGTCTTACAACTTTCCCCCTCCTTGGCGTTTTTTTTCCTTCCTACCTGTCTTTTTTTATTATTTATTCCCCAAATCACTGTTATGGGTAACTTGCACTTTGTATTTATTTGCTCTATTTCCACTTAAGGTGAACATAGCAAAGTTTTCCCTAAAAAGATGCTGGGCTGATAGAAAAGTAAATGAGACTTCCCCCTTTTTTCTTTCCCTTTTCCCTTCTTCCTTTTTATTTTTCTTTTTTTTTTTCCCTATTTTTTTTCCCTCCCTGAACCGATCTGAGCAGGATGAGACCGGGTGGGGGAGGGGGTGATTCACATTTCTTAAGCCTCCAAGTGGAAACCTTTTCTAGATACGCATTCCACACAGATCTAAAGCGCTAAGAAGATTTCGGCAGCGTCGGTGCCTTATCCCACCTTTATTTACCTGCAGCCCTTGTAATGTGACACTTCCATTCTCAAAATAAGGCTGCAAATTTCAAGCCCCACTCAGCTCTGTTACGGCGGTGTATTTTTGTCTGAGAGTCGCTCTCCTGCTTTGAGGGTGAGATTTTGGAGCGGGGCGGGGGAGGTACTCCTCTCCCTATTAGACATAGGAAGGGGAAAGTTCGCTATTTCCATCTGATGAGGGAAGGAAGTTTAATCAACACTGTGAGACGCAGCGGTTCCTCGGAACAGAGAGGGAAGGGCTGGCCGGGGTTGGAGACACCCCGCGGGGGCGTTGGCAGGAGGGGAGGCATCTCCCTCCGCTCCCGCGGCGGCCAGTCCTCGGCGGGAATCGGGCTGCAGGACTCAACCCACTGCTGCAAGGTGGGAGAGGGGGAGCGAAGCCCAGCGGAGCGGCCCGGACCTTAGGGCTGGAGCTCGCTCTGGGCTCGGGAAAAGAACGGAAACACACGTCGTTCACCACACCACACGCCTCCTTCTTCCCTTCCCCCTCTTCCCCGCCAAACACTTGCATCCCGAAAAGCCGCGGGCCTTCGCGTCTGCGGCCCCTCCCGCCGTCCCTTAAGGAAGAGCTCGGCCGCCCCTTCAACACAAAGACGGAGCTCCCGGGCGGCGGGGACCGCGGCGGCGAGGGCAGGGCCGGGGGCGGCCGCTCCGCACTCCTCCGCGGAGTCGCTCCGCTGGGGTGGCCCAGGGGCAGCAGCAGCACCCGGCCTGGCCCTGCCGTACCCTCCCCTCTCCCGGAGGAGAGGGAGCGCCAGCTGGAGTCGTGGGGCAGAGCGCTCCGGCTGTTCCACCGCGGCTGGGAAGGTCAGGGCAAGAAACGTCCAGCCTTCGGCCCTCCGCCCCCACGCCCCTCGTTCTCCCCAGCGAGGGAGTTTTGGGAGATCCCCGGCAGCGGTAGGGAAAGGAAACTTTGCCGGCAGGGTGGTGCAAGGCTCAGCTGTCCCGATGCGGTTCGGGCGAGCCCCGCCACGTCGGGGAACCGGACAACACTCAGGCAGGGCACCGCGATGAAAACCCCTCTCCACCAAGACGGCCGGGTCCCTCCGTCCCTTTGCTGAGGAGTCCTTTGTCTCCCGCTGCACCTTCCACTCCCCTCCAAGGGGGAAAAGGAGAAGAAGAGGGGAAAAAATCCTTTCCTCTAATCATGGCTGTTAATGACCCTAATGACAACAGCTCGTTTTGGTCCTTTCGTGTGTCTCCCCCCATGCCCCCCCCCCTCCCCCCCCCCCCCCCCCGCTTCCCACACGTGTGTTTCCTTTGGTCCCCACTGATATGGGTGGATAGAAGTTTTGACAATCTACGAGACACCCGACTTCCCCTTACCCTCCACGCCCTCTCGAGGGCGAGGGCTGGGGGTCTTCTGTGCCCCTCGACATACATCGCCGTTGTTGTTTTGCGGGATTATTTACTGCTAATATTCCAAGAAATGCCGCAGTGTCTGTGATAATTGTCCCTGAATGTCAGTCCGTCGGCAGGGCATGAGGAGGAGAAAGGGCGACGGGGAGGATCCCATAGCAGCGGATTTTTTTTTTTTTTCTCCACTTCCCCCCCCCCCCCCAGTAAAGATTGTTCTGGGAAGAGCTGCTAGGAGTCTCTTGACTTTCAGTAAAGTTGCGTGTATGTGTTCATGTGTGAATGGCGTTTGTGGGTTGCTATAGATAGATCGCATTTATTTATTTATTTATTTATCTGCCTTTTTTTTCTTTTTTTTCTTTTCCTTCGTGGTAAATTGTTATAAGCCTCATGGCTGCAAAGCCCCCTCTTCCTCTCCCGGCTACTCTCGTTTGTTCCTGAGTCCAACGACGACAAGGGGGACTCAATGTTAAAGGTGGAAAAAAAAAAAAAAAAAGAAGGAAAAAAAAAACAACCCAGCAACACAGTTGTTTTTGTTAAAAGGGGACACACTAAGGCTGCGAAACAGCAAAACCCCAATGTTGGACAGCTGTAAAATCGTGTAGACAGGTTGTCATACAGCAGTGGGGGCTTTTCTGAAAGGAGCCCATTGCTGAGCATTAAGTACCCAGCGATCCCGGCAGAGCAGCTGCGCGGACACACGCACACGCGCGCACACACACACACGCACACGCAGGCACCGAGGCAGCGGCCCGGGCTGGGCTGAGCACCACGTGCTGCACCGAGGGGGGCGGCGGGAGGGGGGGAAACAGGGGTTGGGGGAGGCGCGGGGCGGCGCTTGCAGCTCAAGTGGGTGCCAATCAAAACATCAACTTCAAATTGTATCTGAAAGATCAGCCTAGGACCTAAGGGCAGACACATCAGTTGGAGCTCAATTGTTGATCAGATCACATCTAAGGGATTTAGGAGCACAGAAGAGCCGAGATTTGAGGAAAGACACCCCACTGAATCCTTCCACACTCCTCCTCCTCCATACCTAGGGTGCAATATATCTCTGACAGAAAGAAATCAGAACGAAAAAAGAAAATTATCGGCTCGATTTCTGTTCTCTCGCCCT